AGATTTTGGGTTTTAACAGTTTCTTGTGGGCCAATTATTTAAATCTTTATTTCTGTCACATTTCTAGCTGTTTTTCTCATTTGGCAAAGAACAGAATGTGCCTTTTTTTAATGTTCATGCTGTATGAATCGTCAATGCGTCCCTAATATTTAACACCACTGCTGTTGTCTTGTACACGGATAATGTCTGCATAACTTGATTGAGGACTTTGGGCCGATAATAGTGACCATCTCCAGTCTCCTGTGTATATAGTTGTGTTGTGTTCATAGGGACTGGCCGCCTTGTCAGTGGAGACTTCATTACAGCAGTCCGTGGCGTACACTGCCCATGTCCAGACAAGACTTCTCTAATGAGCTCTATCACACCACTACAATCATACACATGCAAACACACACAAACATGCTCCGTAACAACAAAGTCCTCTGGAGCTCAGGAGTGTGACAATTATCACTAAGAACACACCAAAAATACTCTCCAGCTCCGCTGTGAGGTTAGACGTTTTTCTGTGTGCTGGTTGATATTCATAACATAAGGAGTGTGCACACCTGTTTGAGGTCATTTATTTTAAGAAGCTCTGACTGACGGTTGTTGCTGTAATTAGGCAGCACTGTTTGCACAGATAATTTTGGCTTAACTTTTACTGTGGCCCAAATGTCTTCAGGCCTTGTTTTCTTCTGTGACTTCAGAGTCACTAACTTCAGTGTTTTATGTACTCACATTATAACTTTTAAATGATTTTCCTGCATTGTGGGAATGATAATGGTTTCATTTCTAACATAGGGCAGTGACTAATCTGGGGTGTCAAATGAGAGAAACTATGAACATAATTATTAAATCATTTCTCTGATTTAACTATTCATCTTCTTTGACTGTGGACCTAGATTATTGCTCTTGCGTGTTAATGTTAATGTATTTTTCATACTTTGACCTCTTGAAACATTCGTAGTAGTGCTGGCTGAAGCCCAGCTGCTTGCAAGCAGTACCTCCACATCTGTAGCTCTACATCTGTGGCCCTGTTGTTCAGAAACTTTTAAATGGCAGGCTGCACTGATGTCTCTCCTGCTAAAAGTTATTTCCAGCTACTGCCATGCTGTGAATTTGTTTATCACCGAAATACATCCAGTCTAAAGTACAAGCAAAACGCACTGCAGGTGCTACTTTCAAACAGGAACAACACCAATCGCAAACCTGATCTTTAGCCTCCATGTAACTGTGTGACACACATGCACGTGAAAGAGAGATTCTGCCGGGGAGATGGAATTTGGCAATATCAGTTATTCAGCACTCTACGCTGGGCAAATCAGCGAGCAGCAGATTAAAAAAGCAATAGCAAAGTGGAAACCTCAAGTTCCCTTTGAGAGCCTCGACTGTAACAAGAATCCACCAGCTGTATGAAAGACAGCTACATCAAGAGGCTACAGCAGCAAAGGAGTTGATTTCACTGATTGTATATGTGGTATGTATGATATGTACTTAGTGATTGGAACATGGAGCTAATATTGCTCTCACTGGACATCAGTGAGAAAATTGGAAACTCCCTTCACTCTGTGGAAATCACTTTTTTTTTTTTGTTCAGGTTCACACATGAAAATAAATAATGGTATGTGAATTATTAAATACATTCTGATGGAACTCATATAACTAACAAAAACACAAAATAATGCAGTTAATCATAATTGTTTTAATTATCACCCTGTACTTTAGATACAGCTCAAGCCATTCTGTTAATTCTGGACAAATATGTTTCAAGGAAGTTTGGCTTTTATGGATCCCACTTAATCTCTACCACAGTAGTATGTTTTACTATAAAAAAACAGCTGCACTGTACAGTTAAAAACAAAGACCATAATGCCTTTACTGCCTGCTCTGCATCACACAGCAAAACCACTGAATGCTAACTGCAGATAACTGTAATCATGGATCAGGAATTAAATATGTATCCTAGTCTAGTATCATACATTTTTTTTTCTCATTACGTGTCCCCTGTGCTCACGTCTATGAATAAGAAGCCAACTACAGCCTTGCTTAAGCCAATAATGTCAGATTTTGTAAAACCCTGCATTCATACCGGCAGCGACTTTTCACCTCTTGTCACCCAAATCGCTGGTCACTCGTCGTCTGTGTACGCCATTGGACGCCGTGGTTTCACTGACGCGAAGTACAAACCAGATGCATTCCTGATAAAAATAATTTAATCCCTTAAAAAAAGAAATTAATATCTGTTCAGTCAGTATGTGAAGCAGACAGTGTTTGGTCTGTGTGATTGCTGCCATCACTGCTGCAATTTCTCCGTCTCTAGTAGGAATGAATATCCAAGAACCAAAAAAAGGTGCACACTGCTTCAGAGTGACAAAGATAAACCATGTACCACCCTACTCAGTCCATAAAATCCTGTAATATTGCTCTGCCTTGTAAGTCAATATGTTTCAGTCTCTTCTGATGTTTTCTCGACGCCAGAATCCAACTCCCCTTTGAATGCACTCAGGCATATGAACGCTATAGATTATGTGCCCGATTCTGGTTGTTTACACATAGAAACATAGAAATCGCATATGTAATCTGTAATGTCCGTATGCCTGCGTGATGCACGTGTATGCAAAGTAAAGTCGGATTCTGTGTCCTTGTCAACAAATGCAAATGTACATGAGCGGGCGCTCACAGTGCGAGTTGTGTTTACAGCAGTGATGTAAAAGTGAAATACACTCTGCAACTGCAGGGGGAGACCAAGAGCAAAAAATACCAATTCTCGCATAATGCTACTTTGAGTAGTTCCCCCAGTATTGCTAGCTCTGCCTAACAAGTGACATAAGCAGCTACTTAAGACCCCATGGCCACCAGGGGACCCCCTCCTAACAACTTCTGGGTTTTTATTAAACCATTATGTTGTCTAAGATGCTCTAGGAAGAGGGGAAAAAGCAGGTAAATATGTATAGAGTTATAACAGTAAAAAAGCAACCAGTGTTAGATAAACTAAGCTTACAGGTAGCTGGGTATGTAAGAAATACTGCATTGTGATACTGCAAACCCTGGATGGGTTAATGCTGAAAATCATATCTATAATTTAAACTTTAACCTAATAGATGTCCAGATAAGCATCCAATCATCAGAAATATATAATAAGCCAGATATAAATTTATACAATTTAGGCAGTGTTTGATGGTTATCAGTTAGGTTGATGCAGAATGTAAATATAAATACAATTCATTGTGTAACTTACTATGCAATAAATATTGTAATTGCTTAATTGCATTTTGGTAGCATAGCAAAATGAATACTTCTGAAAGTTTAGACACATTCAAAAAGCTGCTGAAGTACAATAACAAAGTACATTTATTCTTTCCACCATTGATTGGCATTCGACATCCCTGTGATCACATAATGTGTACAGTATATCAATTACACCTGCCTGTATATCCAGAGCTTTTCATGTAGGGATCCCTGCAGAGAGCTCAGGGACCTACAAAAGATCAATACCTGCAATGTCATACCTCCTCCAAGCCCTCAGGGTAGTGTGTGTATGTATGTGTACATGTGGTGTGTGCGGGTGTGTGCGTGTTCCGTCCCCAAGCCGCCCCAGAGGGACAGAGCACAGCTCCAGGCTGCAGAGTTATTGATTAGATAAACAGAGGCTGGTTTTACATCAGCCCCTGCTGCTGCATACACGCCTCTTATCGACAACAGTGGGAACTTCTCGCAGCAGCCTGATCCACTTAGCCGCCCTCACATGCATGATTGTGTTTCCTTGTCTGCTGCCTCAGAAGTGCTGGGAAGCCTTGGATGCCTCTCGGTCCACTCGTGGTGCTCTATACACCAAGTATTTTTGGTCTGTCCTCCTTGATTCTTGATTGATCATCTTTTTCTGCTTCTTTGTAGAAAAGTGTACATGTTCATTGAGAATATATTTTCAAATCATAATGTTGCCAAAGGTTTTAGATCTGTTCATCATAAATCAGTCTGTGGGTGGACAATATGATGGCTTTTTACTGTTATGATGATAAATTATGTGCAATATAGAAATCATTACAACACTGAACAACTGCATGTTTCAAAAAGAGCATAATTAGTCCTGTTTAATTACATTTAGCACAGCTTGGTGTGAGAAAAACATAAAATAAAAATCATCTGTATGCAAACGTTTGGGCACCCCAGTCAGATGACGTTTTGCTGATTTTCTAAGTGAAAGTAAGTTAACATATCCTCTACAGAGAACACATTCTGCATGTTTCATTGCACGGTTACTACTTATTAGCTGAATTTAACATATTGAGGGAAAAAATAAACATAAAATGTGGCCTGTGCAAAATATATACTTATGTTTTATTTTTCCAGTGTGTTACAATAAGCAAATAAATATGAATTATGCACTAAAATCTGCAGACAAATGCTGTGTTTAAGTCTGCTCCCTGTACAAGATGTGTTACTTTATTTTCACTTAGAAAATCAACAAAATGTCATTTGAACAGAGATGTTCAAACTTTTACGTATGGCTAGTTTTTGACATTTATATTTGGGACTGTTTGGCTGGTACATTATGTCTCTTCCAACTTATCAAAATCCCCGAAAAAGGAAATACTGTGATATGTTTATTTGATTGTGTATCATAAAAATGTTGTCAAATATTGTGGCTTCATTTTGCCATATTTTACACCCTTACTTCAGTTTATCAATCAGTACATTTCTTCACAACAATGAACTGAAGGAGTTGTTCGACTTGGAGACTGAAAATTGGAGTTTATACTCAGGTGAAGAAGTCTCTGTATGATGACACTGTATTTGATTGACTGAAAGTGTCTGGCATGATTAAATGTGAAGAGTTGTACTTATTATGACCTGTGACATAAACTAACCAGGTAGATAAGCTCCATTGTGATTTCAGTTTGACTTCAAGGTTATACAACAGTGTGTAGAGTGAACAGATGAAAGTTTGGAAGCACTTGTCATATTAATACGACTGTATAGTCATTTACACAGTGTATTTACACACTACATATCTGTTCCAGACCCCTCAAAAAGCTCACGTCCAGAGAGCGAGTGGCCAGCCTGATCCGCTCTGAGTACAGCAGTGGATTAGATGGGGAGTCCAAGTCCAAAAAGAAGAGGAAAAAGAAGAAAACGAACACAGAGAGCACAGAAGGGGAGGATGTGATGGAGCAGTAGAAAAGAACACTGTGCTGACCATTTTAGCAATGCAGGCCAGTGGAGCGGTGCTGCAATAAAGACTGGGTCGAGTCGCAGGTGTTTAAGCCTAATGCGGGACGTTTTTGCTTGAGCTACACCACGGCTGGGCAGCTGTGCAGCCCCAAAACTACTTCAGCTGTGTGCAGTACAGGAGCGTTCATGAAGTTTTAAGACTGTATGGAATGTCTTGGTTGGTTTTGGACTTAAAAAAATTATGGTTTGTTTTTCAATACTATGTGTTAATAAGTGGAATAATTAATTGTTGATATGACCTTTGAAACAAATATGAATAAACAACTGTTTTCCACAGTGTTTGTGTTTGGATTATCAGGTATGAGGAGCACATATTCTCAAAGTAAATTTGCTGAATTATTAGGTAGTAAACAAATATAAACAAAATATAAACAAACAGCTCTCTTCCAATGTTTTGCTTGAACAGTCAAGTACAAAAACGTTCCTAGAAATAAATGGACGCTGTTTTTGTAGTAGTGCATGTGCTTATGCTTGATTTGTTAGTATGTTTAGTAAAAATGAACAGCTATTTACCTCAGTGTTTGTACTTGGAGATCAGATATAAAAACTTTTAGACATAAATGTGAGCATTATTTTTCTAAAATTAAATCTACTAAAGCATGACTTTTAGAAGCTGTAACTGCTTACCTTGTCTGTGTTAAGACAGAAGATATAAAAAGCTTATTTTTTCTAACACATTTTTTAGATGTAGATGTGCTGATGCATGAATATTTAGGATCTTTATTTTTTAAAAGGTTTATTTCTAGATAATGTGCATTAATGGTCATGCTAAATAAAAACATTATTTAGAAATAAAAGCATGATTTGTTACCTTTAACAACAACAAACATTCTTACTGCTTCTATGCGCTGGCATAGAGGCACTTTTCCTATAAATAATCAAAAGAAAGCGCGTGTTTCTAGAGGTAAACATGCTGATCTACAGTCTCTGACTGCATTCCTGCTCTTCATCTATGCTGCTGAGAGGACTTTTTTAATGAGCCAGTCTCCTCAGTGGAAGCCCAGCAGGCCATGTGCACAGCGAGCTCTGCACCAGGTGACCAGATGATCTCACTAATTTATTTACTTCCTTCATTATGGACGGCCATTTAACTCTTTTTGTCCCCTTCTTAAGCGCTCTCTCGCAGGCTTTTGTTGGCTGCAGTGTGGTTATGTGTGGCTCTGGCGGGGCGCAGTGACCAGCTGGCCCTCAGCATCCATCTGCAGAGCCGGACACGCTCACAGCACTTAAAGAAACGAGACGCGAATGTTGGACTTCATAACCGAACAGTCTGCTGATGAGGTCAGTGTGCTGGGTGAGGAAGGAAAAGTGTGAGCTCAGTGGTTCTGTGATCTGAGAGGTTATTCTTATTAAACTGCACAATTAATAATAAAGGTTCCTAAATGGTTCTTGGCTTGGACAGGGTTCTAGGGAAAAAAAACTTTCATTTAATTAGAACAGAGCTACCCAAAGTTGGCCAGTGAGGACGTTTGATTTGGCCCACCAGAAGGTTACCCTAGCCCCAACACCCCACACACACACACACACACACAATAATAGAAAAGAAAAACATTTTAATTCTGTATAAACCTTACTCACTTATTTTCTATTTGAAATTGTATTTTGGAGTATTTTAGTAAGAAAATATAGTGTTGTAAAATCCATTTTTCAAAACTCGATTTTAACCGTATTTGTTTTTATATTCTGTCTTTTTTGGCCCCTCAAGACAAAGGTTTGGGCACCCCTGGTCTTCAGCCTTTACAATGTGCAAAATGTGTTTTGGCACATTTACAGAAATTCACATCCACTGAAGGTTTTTAGGGGACCAAAACTGGTTCTGTGGCGCCGCTCCAAAAGACCCTCTCTGGTTCCGTTTGTCCGCTTTATTTTTTTTCTTTATTTTTAGGAGTTGTTAAAACGTTTTCTCAGATCTATAGTTGGTGCTTTTTGACACAAAATCGTAAACATGAGTCTTAAATTATCTTAATAAGGAGATGTTTTTTTCTTAATGTGGAGCACAATAAGAAACAATAAGCATTTAATTTGAACGCCCTGATTACATTAAATATGCTTCATGACGTGAAGTAGATGTTTTTACTGGAAAATAAATACAAAGAAATGCAAACTGCCTGTATAAATAAATACACCTTACAATGAAAAAAAATGAACACTCAAATAACATTTTCAATAGAACTTTATTTACAATCTTTATTTAAAAAAGTATTTTGGCGTCATCAACAAAACCATTTATAAACTACAGAACCACAACACAACTGTGACAAACAGGGTTTAATGTGTGGGCCTCTTACAAATTATAATGCAGTCTGTACAGATCTTTGCGTCCAGTGGCCCCAGACAAAATAATTTAACAAGAAATTCTATTGTTAAAAATAATGATGGTAATAATAATAATAATGATAATAATATACAAAATGTATCTTCATTATTTATTGACCCTTATTATTATTATTATTATTATTATTACATATGAATGTGCCTATATTTCGATTTCCTTTATTACTAATCGTTCACATTATTTGGTAGACACTTAACCCATTGTTGAAATCTGTAATAAATCTTTTGGTTTATTTGATGAGATTTTCCTTTATAAGGTCTCGTATCAGGAGGCTTCACACGCACGAGCTTCGTGACGGAACTTTTTACAAACTTTGCAAGCGAGTTTTCTTCTTTAGATTATTTATATATATGTAAAAAACAAACAAAAATAAATAACAGATACTTAACATCCTTGTCTTGTTGCTAAGTGACGTGGAAAGTTCTGCGTTGCTAAGTAACGCGGGAAGGCGTTGCAGTGTCCTGTCACCTACCCGAGCGCGCGCCTTTATCATTCCTGAGCAGGTACGAGCAGGAGCGCGATGTGACTTTTTTTCCCGCCCATATTCCGTCAAACCCCACCCCCACTCGCCGGGATTGGCTACGTCTTCAGTGCTACGACTGGCTAGCCAAGCGCAGCGTTCGAGAACGCCCTGCCCGGCTAAGCGCAGCGCTCTAGAACACCGGAGTGCTTGTAAGAACTACTAGCCAAACGCAGCACATGAGGGGCGGGGCTTGTCGCGTTTGCCCGAATACGGGTGGGAGGAGGAAAAAACGCACCGCGTCTCCGCAGCCCGTGTTTCGCTTCATCGCTGCGGGGTGGGCCGCGCTAAGGTCCCGTGCAGCGAGGCTAGAGGCTCACCGCCGCCTCCCTGCAGCCCAGGCAGGAGGATCCTCGGCACGAGCGGCCGCTGTACCGGCGGCGGGGGCGCAGAAGGACCCCGGTACAAATAGAGTCCAGCTCCGGGGTCCAGACTGGACACGAGGCTCTGCGGGTAAAAATAGGGCGACGGGAACATTCGCTGGAGAGCTGAGTAATTACCCGCTTCAGCAAGAAGCTCCAGACCCACAGCCGTCTGCCGCTTCCACTTCGTCCTGAGCACGATCAGAGAAAAACAGAGCGCGTCAGTGATGCTGATGATTTCACACATTTTTAAAAACAGAATAATGATGAGTTTTTTATACATAATTTTATACAGTATCCTCTCCTTCTTTCCTATTTTTTCTCTTCATTTCATTATGACAAAAATGTGTTGCAAGAAAAATAATGCTATGAAGCTGTTTTGTTATACAGTAAACTTTATTTATTTCTATTTTAGTATACGTATTACTTTTATATTAGAGAAGAAAAATGTTTCAAGGCTTCAAGTGTAAAGCTTAAATAGTATTTAAACTATTGTTTTCCTTTATCGCTCGTTAGAGAAGTAATAACGCACTAAGGCCTTTTTAAAGACGGGCATAATTTTATACAGTAAACTTTTTTATTTATTTTCGCATATTAGTGAATACGTGCTGTTTTGAGGCTTTGCTTAATTGTTAGTTTTTTTCTCTCTTTTTTGTTGCTAGTTAGAAGCATTTGCAGTGAGTTTTTTGTCGTATGTTAACCCGTGTTAATCTGCCGCCGAACACTCATCCGTCAAATTGTCACTCAGCAGAGAGCCATTTTCATCTAAATAATTCATCATCATAGCAATTGTGTAATTACAGCTTGGTGGCTTAATTATTAATACCCCATGCAGTAATTTATTATTCATGTCCCACAGTGAGCTGAGTTTATTCTACTGCGCGCCTGTGGCTTTTTATACAAAGCACCAACTTTATAAACTGAAGAAAAAAATATTTATTCGGTTCCTCACACTGTAAAACTAACACGGCTTCACAGTTAACCTTACTTAACCTGAGTGATTAAGCTTTTAGGATTAGGACCCTTAAACGAACCAAACTCTCGCTCTTCTGTGATCCAGAGCACAACAGAAACAACGCTCAGAGACATGAGGTGCTCATCAGAGCTACAGTGCTAACGTCTAATTTATTAAACCCACGTTCAGCGTCCAGCACTCCTTTAACCTGTTTCACAACAATCACAGCTGTTCACGAGCTTCAGCAACAAACGGACAGAGACGAGGACCCTCCTGCATTTGCAGTGCAGGTCAAAGACAAGAAGACATGCTTTAAACTTAATGCGGCTGAATTTTGTTTGTTTGTTTATTTGTTTGTTTATATTGTTATTATCATTTTTCGGCATCAGGAAGATGAAACACAGGAAAATGTTTTGGGGACTTTCGTCCAAAATATGCACCTTTATAATTAAAAGTCTCCTTTATTCTGTCTCTCTGTTGATGTGGCGAGGAGCACAATGGAAATACGCTTTAAAAGCTTTACTGTGATTTCAGTGTTTAATGGCTGCTGTTATCTGTATGTTTATATGTAACATACGTATGTATATGTAAGTGTAAAATCAATCAATCAATCAATTAATCAAAGGAGCCTAAACATTAGCTTTTGGTTTCCCAGGGTTGGGTTAAATGTTTTGAGAGGGAACAATCATCACTTTCAGCACAAACAAACAAAAAAAAGGATTCTATGTTGTAACTAAAAATTGTATTTAGCTCTTTTTGGCGCGAAATAGAACAATTTTTAAAAACATTCTTTAAAGAACCTTTCACCATCGCAGAGAGGGTCCATTTAACCCTGCAAAGAACCATTTGAACATTTAAATAGTTCTAAATATAAGTTACTATTATTAAAAAAAAAAAACACTTAAAAGGGCACCACAATGGGTTTTTAGAACAATGTCAGAGAAGAACCTATTTGGTTCCCTAAAGAACCGTGTTTGTAAGTGGGATGTGTGAGTGTGAGGAACTTTGTAAAGGCCTGAAGGACCTTCGCACAATGTTAAGGTTATTTACTAAAGTAAGTGTTCTTCCAAGAACATCGCATGGAGGTTCTGTAAACTTCAATAAGACTCCTCACATTCAGACACCTCATTACGAACACGCGTCTCTAAATCAGTGAAAGCTTCTTCAGGGAGCCAGTAGCGGTTTTTCTATGGTAATTCAGGTGTGTGTGTCCTCACCTCCGGTTCTGGTACCAGGTCTTGACCTGTGTGTCGGTCAGGTTGAGAGAGGCCGCGAGCTCCATGCGGTCCTGCACGCTCAGGTACTTCTGTCGCGCGAAGCTGCGCTCGAGCTCGCCGAGCTGGTGGTCTGTGAAGGCCGTGCGCGCTTTTCGGGGCTTCTTCAGCCGGGACGAGGGGCTTTCTCCACTGCTGGAGATCTCCCTCTCAGCCTCGTCCTTCACTGCAACAGCAGAGCCAGAAAACCAACATCAAGCTCCTGTCAGATCAGCTCAGATTTCTCCACATCAGCGCGGAGCTCTGCGGGGCTCTGATTTCTGGATGTTTAGAGCTCTTAAGGAGGGAAAGTAGTTGCTCGAATTTGACCAACAGAGCTTTAATTAAGCAGCAGCAGCAGTGTGGAGGAGCTGCAGTCCAAACCCCAAGATTACAACTCTTTACATTTTATATTTTTTATTGTAATGTTATTCTTTTATATTTTAATGATATTTAATGTTATTTTAAATTTTAGATTTAATGCAAAATCAATTATCAGCAAAGGTTTTAGCTATAGTTACTAAATTATCATTTATATTTGTCTCATCAAAACCCAGCCACATATGAATTCTGATTTTTTCTTTATTTTTCAGTTTTTATTAACTTATTAAGGTGACGTAAGAAGAAATACACAGTGAATTGTATAAGAAATACATGTACAATAACTACATAACTACACCATAATTTGAAAAGTGAAAATACATTATTAAATAACTGCAGCTGTTAAAACGTCAAGGATTTGTGTGGTATATATATATATATATATATATATATATATATGTGTGTGTGTGTGTGTGTGTGTGTGTCTATGTACAAATACAACTTCTCCCGTCTGTATTGATCTAAAAAAAAGTTTCTAGTAAAATAAGAACATTTTTATCCACTCAAAACACGATATGAAAGATATTTTTGATACATTTGAATTAAGCAAAAAATGCCTCGCATTTCAATCACTATTCAGGAATTTTAATTAGAGTTAACCCTTTTTGCCTTAAAAAAGAATAAATATAATAATATATTTAATGTGCATATTCGTATTTCTTATTTACTATTATTATTATTATGATTAATAATAATAATAATAATAATAATAATAATAATAATAATATGGTAACCATATAGAAGCCGTTTGTCTGTGTGGTTATGCAGTAGACAGAATAACACTATGATATTGTTCTTCCCTGTAAATAAGTCTCACCTCTGTACTCGCTGTCTGAGGAGGAGTTGCTGTGCACTTTGTCGGTGTAGTCCTCCGCGTCTCGCGCTGTCTGCGCGCTGCTGTACGGGGCACAGGCCGCCAGAGGCTTGCAGTCCGCCAGGATGTCTCGGATTAAGAAGGAGGAGGTGACGGTGCGCGCCTGAGGACCGGGAGACTCGAGCCCCAGCGCGCGCGCATGTCTCTGCACCTCCTCGTCCTCCTCCTCCTCCACGCAGTCCCTGCGCGGGGACGGGGGCGAGGAGCAGTCACTGTCCAGGTCAGAGCGCGCGCTCGGGGCCGGAGAGCCGCACGGGCCCATCAGCAGAGCGCCGCCCCTGGACATGCAGGGGCTCGCGGGCCTGCGGGACAGCAGGGACTCGATCCCAAAGCTCGAGCCGTTCGTGGGCACGTCCATGGTGAACGCAGCAAGGCGGGAGAAAGCCGCGCGCTCAAGCAAGCATTTGTGCATGAGGTGGAGAGCCGAGTGTCCAGCAGCGAGGGAACGTCTAGACGGAGCGTGGACTTGAGAACGATGGTATTATCCCCGTGTGGTCATTTCTTCTTCTGCACAAAACTCTTACAAAACGATCGCACAAAAAAAGTTTGATTCCGTTTAGAATCACTTTTCAAATTTGAAAAGCAGACCCCGAAAACAAGAAGACGATTCCACTGAAAACAGAGTCAGTTACTCCTGGACAGTCCTGGTCCGGCTACTTGGTATCTTTCAGTGCCTCTTGAGAGCAAACTCAGCCTCAGTTTTCCAGACTGACCCTCAGCAGCCAGACCCTCGTCATCGTCCACTTTCAGCACCACGGACAGCGCGCAGGTGCAGCACTGAACTGGAGCAGCGACATTAAATCCTCCTGCAGAACTGCTGTAGAAGTGCAGCGAGGAAAGTTCAGCTCAGTCTGCGCGCACTAACGCAGCGTATGAACGTGCACGAGTCTTCCCCGGGCCTCTGATAACACCCTTCAAAAAAAAAACAGCCAATGCCAGCGCAGCACCTCCGCACGCTTTTAAAGGTGTCCGGCACGAGGTTGTCCCGAGTGGAACCTCGTTATTGGCTGAGTGGTGTTTGTTAAGGGTAGACACCAGTACCACGTGCTGTGGGAGGGGGAGTTCGTCACCCTCGCCTCCTCCTTTACGCCCTTATTGAACGCCACACATAGACAAACAGACAAACGTACAGTAAATATTAGAACTACCTGAAAACACTGTTTGAATAGAGAAACCAGCTTTTAAAATATAGTAACTGTGAATATGAGCCCTTTAATGGTAATTAATCATTTCATTCTTTTTAGTTTCAGGGGAGAAAGTGTAAAAATTTTATTCTTCACATAGTAGGACATTTATAGTCCCTCTTCTATTCTATTTAACACTTTTTGACTTTTTGATACTTCGTTTTGCATTGCTTCACATACTATATGTTAAATCTCAACAAATAAGATTTATTTATATATATATAGGAGCAGTACGATATAGTGTGTTTATTGATTTACATTTCAAAAATTTTATAATACAACAGCAGGCTAAAAACTGTACAAGTACTGAGGATTATGTGGGTAGAAATTACTTGTTTTAAAGGGTCCATAATCCCAAATTTGACATTTGTGTGGGTTTATGTACTAAAATTAGTAATAAGGTCCATTTTGCAACTTCACTTTATCCCTAATAATTAAACAGCCTGTTTTTGTAACTGTACCATTAAGAGTGATTTATGTAAACGAGCTATGTTCTGATTGGCTGCCATATAGTGTGCCCAATAGAAAAAGCAGATCAGGCTGAAGCATTCTTGATGCAAACATAGTATAAACCTGAACTTCTTTATTGTTGATGGGCGGGGCTAAACTGCTGTAGGCTGTTTATATATAAGTGAATGTATTCATTTTGTGACATCACAAAAATAATGAATTCAAAATGCATTGTTTTTGCTGCTTAGCTTCCATACAAAGACTGCATGGAGTTTCCATATAAAGACTGTAAGGACTGGGGAGTGTATAGTATGTTGTGGGGAAAGAAGTGAGAACCAGTTTTTCATGATCTGGGCCCTTTAATAGTTAATGCGAATAATACATTCAAACCATGTGTGCTTTACATTCTATCCAGCCAAGACAGACAGAATGTGTGAGGAAATCACATGAAAGTACATGATTTGTGGTGCAAACTATTTTGATAGTCCCCCTATAGATTACGCTCCAATTATTAACAAACAAGCATTGGATTCAAAATAATTTGTTACATTCAACTTAAAGTTCAGTTGCATTTAACAGACCTTTATCTGAATGTTAAAGACTCAGTGAGCATCAAAGCATCTACAGTGATGCACTGATATCTGCACCATTCACTCAAAATAACTAATCAGGCTGTAAGGATTGACAAGTAGCCCCTCTTGAAAATGAGCTGATATCACTAAGCCTGCTAGACAAAGTATGAGTGATCTGAAGCACAGACTGGTAGATTATAGAGATAAAGACTGGGGTTATGAGTCTATCCGTCAGTCAACAGTGTAAGTGCCCTGTCCCAGCAGCCCTCTTCTGGCTGCCGATTCAGAGTAATGTGCAGCCATGGCCCTCTTCCGGACTTCAGCATCTCGAAAGGTGTCCAGGGCTGGTCCGATCTGCGGGAGAGAAAAGGCACCGCAAGAAGATAAACACGGTGTAGCAGAATGACTTGTTAGTCTACGGACTACTGTGCTGTCCTAGAACAAGGCCTGAATGTACACAGTCAATAAGGACTCTCCACTGAAAATCCATTTTAAATACAGGACAAAATCTATGTCTGCAATTGGGGCCTTATGAGTCAGTGATGATTTGCAGATGTCCAGTGTGGTGCTTATGTGTCTTCTGCCATTGTTTGCAGCGAGGCATAGTTTGATAACAGCAGTTAGTCTGGGGGGGGGTGGTCTTGGCTGTTTTGCTTGTCCGACATGTCTGTGGTGGATGCCATTAACTCGGCTGATGGCAGGCGGGACACTACAACAGCCTGATATGCTGCAGCAGTGGGGGTCTGGGTGAGATTTAAGATGGTAGGAGAGGGTGAAAGAGTCACAATACATGTAGAAGGTGGCCTAAAGGAAAACGCTTGACAAATAAACTGCAAAACAAACATTCTCTAGTTTGAATTTACTGATATTTTGGATGGCATTTCAAGACTTGGTTGGTTTTGACTCACATATCCACACAAAAAAAGACATGGAAGGCAGAATAAATGTGTTTGAAAAAAGGTGGCAAACGCCTCTCACAAACATTTTATTTCAATCTCCCTAAAGCATTTAGGCTGGCAGCCAGAAATGGATACTGACAAGAAGGCAACAAGAAAATGCTTGTTGGCGTAACACATTTAGGAGTTGAAAAAATGGCTCAAAACACCATACATGTCAGCCCGGTGGGCTTACCTATCTGTTTTTTTCAGATGTTAAATGTGTTCCAAAAAAGCTAGCTTATGTTTGTAACATGTTTCAAATGCTTGATAGATGCTTCAAACACTGAAAGAAAAAAAATTGCTCCAATAAGCTCCCTTATCAAATCTGTGGGAAGATGTGCGAGCGGACCAAAACTTCACCGGTGTCACCGTGGTTTATTTATATAATTTCCTTGTTTGTTATTTTGTTCCTCGTTTTATTTTGTAAGAAATCCTGTCGTCTCTCTCCCTCTCCCTCTCTCTCTCTCTCTTTCAAACACTTTTGGCACCTCGGTACTTTTTTTGAATTAAAGAGGAGGAACACGCGTCCCACCAAAGGCGGAATGAGAGAGGAGTGAAGAAGAGTGACAACACAAACAAACAGATGATGGAGGGGAAGCGGAACAAGCGTCGCGCGCCGGAGAGGAGTCGGCGATGCAAATGTCGAACCCACAGCCATCGGGAGCGTGAGCTGACAGACTATAATGAGCGGAGGTAAATCTTTTATAAGGTTAACGCTCCCTCCTCGCCGTCAGCTGTCATACAAGAGAGAATTTAGCGCGCGCGTGCAGCCAAAACAAGGAGCCCCCCCACACTCATTAGAGCCGACTGCGGCCGGACGACAGGACTGGCAGGCGCGCGCAGGCAGCCGTGGGTTGTGTGGATAATTTGCAGAGTAGGATGCACGCAGAGAGGAGGATGGGATGAAGGTGGAATGAAAGTATGGAAAGAAAATAGAGGTGTGGAATAGGAGACGGGAGACTGTGCGTGTGAGAGTGAGTGGGGGGACATGCATATGTATGTGTATTTCCACATACACAAGTATGGAGGAAGTGTGTGTGTGTGTGTGTGTGTGTGTGTGTGTGTGTGTGTTTGTAGGCATGTGCATGCTGTGTGTGTGTGTATGTGTGTGAGGGAGCTGGTTAGCTCAGCAGGAGTCTGATTCCCTCATAATTGGAAGCATTGGGTATTGTCAATGGAGGATTTTCAAGCTTCACTGGCAGCTAGAGCTGTCAGGATGATAGCCTGCTTGTCAGTGCAAAAGACCAATGGACAAAAAAAAAATGCACTTTTGATTTAATTGGTGGCTTGCGCGGGGCAGATGATAAGGAGGGTGGGGGCAGGGCTGCTGCAGTGGATGAGTGCCTGAGTTTGTGCGTGTCGTATGGGAATCTGAAAAGAAATCATTACTTTCACTGTCGATTTTTCTCAGACGCATCCTCTGACCTCACACTGTCTAGCCAAACCAAACACATAAGCAATAAAGTCACTATGCATTCATCTTGTCTTTACCTCCTCGGAGTCCAGGCTGGTATGTATGCTCTCATAAATGAAACATTAAGAGAAGCCAAACTAACCCCCCCCCATAAACCACTCTTAACTGGGCAAAATTATCAAATGGAATCAATATTTTACTTACTGTCAGAGATTAATGAGCTACTAATATAAACCAATTACCACCTGCTTGACCAGGCTTAACCTGTTAAAGTACCCCTAAAGTACCCTTAAACCATAAAAAAAGATCTGTGTTGAATAATTGATAAATATTTTATGTATTATTGCTACGCCCAGGAAACTACTAAAAATGGCATAGGAGCATCCCTAATGGGGAATACAGCCCTCTATTTTTGAACATATTAAGCAGCTGAGATGGAGCACAGCAGAAACCAAAATAAACTCCTGCTGTAGTTTATTTTCTGATTATTACAAAATTATTATTACAAAATATTACAAAATCTTGTATCTTCAAAATGGTTAATTTATAGGAAAAGAAAAAAACATTGACTTATAATTGAAGTTAATGTAAAAAAAAAAAATTCCAAGCTATGTGGGCCAATTCTGTAGGTCTGTCCAGCATGGAATAATGAGCATGAACAGTAACTGAAGTTTCCAAATTATGCAAAAAGTAAAAAAGATTAAAAAATGGAGGTTTTAACGCAACGACGACAATATGTTAAACCATAACTTTTAACATTGAATTATTGCTAAATGTTGAACAGCGCTAGCTTAGCAGGCTTATTACTTAGCTCAGCACACTACAGAACAGGTTAGATTCTGTCTTGTTGTCGCTCAAACACCAGTCATTCAACTTCACTCACACACATTTAAGTCTTTATCTCTGAACTTGTTGATAATAAACCTGTGCTGTGTTGTGAGAAGCTGTTCTAGTCTGCTCATAAAGCTAACAATAGCCTCTGTGTACAGTAGCTTTGAGAACAGCCCCACACAAACCATCAGCTCACTAACTCAAATTTGAGACTTGTATCAGTTAAACATGAGTGGAATGCAACTGGAATTGAGCTTGTGTGGTTGTGTGAGAAGCTGTTTTAGCCGGCTTACTAAGCTAATGGAGCTTCTAGTGCTAAGTAAGATATTATTGAGGTGCCAGAACACGGTCACCAATGACTCTACGCACTAAAACAGTTTCTCTCCAACAGATTTGAGTCTTTATCCTCAAAACTTGCATCAGTGGAGCTTCAGTGAGTCAGAGTCAAACCTGAGCCCTCCACTGTGGTGTTTAAAGCTGTAGCATGCTACTCTACAGCTACCTGCTACTGGGATAGCTCTATATATGTTACAGATTATTAGATAGACGTGGAACATAAAAATAACACCAGCACAATTTTAAACAGTAACATTGTAATAATATTAAGTAACATTGTAAGTAATATTGGGCCCAAGGTTATGGAACAAGCTTCCTGAGTCTCTAAGAAATTCTGGATCTTTAGCTCTTTTTAAAAAAGAATCTTAAGACTTTTCTTTTTAGATGTGTTTTTATGAATAAACTTTGCTTTGTTTTAGAAACTCTGGATGTTTTAATAAGAATCTTAAGACTTTTCCCTTTAGGTTTGTTGTATGGATTTTTGTTTTGTTCTAAGATATTCTGGATCTTCTTAAGTAGAATCTTAAGAAGACTCTTCTTTTTTAGACGAGTTTTTATGAATTTTGCACAGTTATAAAATCTGAAACAAGTTAGCTACAGGCATGTTCTGTAGCTATAGGTTTCCAGTCACCACACTGACATGCGTTATTCACCATATTTTAGTATACTGGACCATGATAGACTCAAGCTTATTCATAATGTAGAAAACTAAGCTTATATAGTGCTCCAAGAATCACTTTTTAACAAAAGTACTGAGAATCCCTGTGTTTTCAGGTTTTCAATGGAAAACTGTAAACTCAACACTATGTTAACAGATTTGACACAAATACTAATCAATGTAATTACAATAAGCCATGAAAGAGGAGTTAACTAATTAAAAAGAACATTTTAGAGTGCAAGAGATCTTTAAAATACCAGTAAATGGATTAATATGTAATACATATACTACACTGGTTCCCAGCCCTGGTTGTGGAGGCCTCCTGCTCTGTACATTTTATAGTTTTACCTGCTTCCAACTGATCCAACTAATCAGCTAATTAAAAAGATCTTCTTGAGCTGTACAGGGCAGGGAGACTCCAGGACCAGGTTGGGAGAAGCCAGGTCCTGGAAGATGTGGAGTTAAGGGCGCTGGGCCTTTTTACCTGCTGGAAGCGGGGCAGTTTCCACACGGATGGGGCCTCCTCCACAGGGCGACTCTTTCGGAGGAGGGTGGTACGGGTGTCCTGTATCCTGCCGAGCTGAACCTATGAGGAACAGCGGCAGATAAATGAGAAATTCCTTACAAAAGAAGACTGTTTTGCACTACCATAAAAACCAATTAAAGTTTAGAATCGCTGTTTTCAATAACAAAAGCCCAATTTTGTTGCAGATACTTATAACATGATTCTAATATGATATCAGCCACTTCATAGGTGTCATATAATATATAAGAAGTTGTTAAAAAAAATGTAATAAATATTTAAGAATTTTACATGTTTCCAGATGGACAAACAGTAAATGCTGCTGATGATTTCATTATAATTGAGAAACATATAATAAACAATTTGCAGGTTGCAATAGTAGTTACTAAAAATTGCAAAGTGATCAAAATGTTAAGGCAGATAAGTTGACATACTATTATGAATAGACAGTTGCAGTGTTACAATTTAATAACTTCATATTGATCCCAAAAAGCTTGAAATATTGAATAAAACATCTAACAATACCTGTTGGTGTATATTTATATTTCTGTCTATACTGATCAAGTCATTACTGAACAACATTTATTAATCTGATGAGTGATTCCAACAGTAGTGTATATATTTGTCTGCCTTGAAGAAAGCTTGAGATGTCTTTATTTTATCTCACCTTTTTATGCTGGCGTGCCAGCAGGGCTCTGTCCTTGGCCTGCTGCTCCTCCAGCCACCTCTGAGCATACTTATACTCCATCAGCTCAGAGATAGGAGTAGAAGGTCTGTAAGAGGACAGAGTAACCACCTTCAGTTTATAACAGTTAGTTCACTGTACTTTCAATTGTCCTGTCCATGCTCAACCCACAAATGCGTTCTTTCATAGCTACTACAGTGAAGTTAGGCAAGTTAAATAGAATGTCTAATGAGAAACTGCAGTGCATAACAAATCAGTGAAAACAATGTAAAACATGCCTATATCTTCATGTAAGGATCGATTCTCAAACAAGAAATTAATGTCAAAACTTCAGTATTCATTCACCCACTGCCCACCATCCTTCCATCATTTCTTTTTCCTTTTCTTCCATCCACCTCTTTATCTGTAAGCGGTATCTTACACCACACCACAGCTGAGTAATATGGGCCTGTGCTACATCTCAATTATAGTCCCTGGTAAGAAGCCGATCTCCGCTCTACCCCCTGCTGTTAGTTTTATTGCATCATTAGTACACACCACATGTCTCGGGGATCGCTAGCTAAGCATCCTGATGAGTTTGGACAGAGACAGCTGAGAAAGCTCCAGACCACAGGATCATCCAAAAACTGAGAATCCAAACAGAGCGATCCGGTTAGACCGAGCACATTTGGCTGCCGCTATCCTCTGATGTCCTCTCAGTGAACTATAACCCTTTATAACCCCTTTTTTCTGGATGTGAACACTGTAGCTGGGAAAACTGCTTTCAGACTGAAATGATGGAAAACATGACTGATTTTAGATCTGAGGAGAGAGAAGGAAAGTCTTTTTATATGTCTTTTATTTGTCTATTTCAGTGGTCTCCAGCCCTGGTCCTGGACCTTCCAGCAGAATGTAGTTCCAACCACCACAATCTGCCACACTTGCTCCAGAAATTCCTGATTGGCTGGGTCAGATGTATTATTGTTTAGTAAAAGGAGAAGCAGCAATGTCACATGCAGATTGGAACTAAACTCTGCAGGAAGGTAGCTCTCCAGGACCAGGGTGGAGACCACTGTCTAGTTCATTTAAAGCTGCAACATGCTGTCTTAACAAAACTTTGCATTTCCATAACAGTAAGTGAAATGTAAAAATTCACATTGGTCTTTGTAGTGGTACAAGTCTCATATTTAAGCATCGTAGCCCAGCCTAAACCTCGCCTAAACATTCGGCTCTCCCAGTGTACGATAAATAAATCATCAAATATTGATTTGCAAAATCTGTCAATTCTAAACATCTGTCTGATGCAGATAAAAGCTTTTAAGCAATTATCTGCTGATATGATCCCAATATCATCATGTATCCTTAGTATAACTATACAAAATCTCCTCACTTTAGAACAATCAGAACAAGTTCTGTGATATTTTTCCTTATGACTCTAAATGTAGTTGTTGACAATGTAACTTCTAAGTGGGTTAATGTAACAAGTTTTTAGCTGAAAGAATATAATCCAGCCAGAGAACTTGTAGAGAGGAAAATTACCACTCTGTAAAGTCTTCTGGGTTTCTCAAACGCTAGAGGGCACTCCCAAGTGAGCCCAAAATGAATGGGTTAAGATGGTGCATTTGAGAAAAATCACAGTTCAGAAATGCTTAAACATTTTTTAATACCAAAGAATACATTTCCTGAACACAGAGCATCATAAAACATTTTAACACCGCTGTGATATTTTTAAGAGCTTTTGAACTCGAGTTATAGGGGTTTGAAACGGCGCCTCATGTACATTCACGACATCAGTGTGCGTGAACAGCCAATGAGCTGCTCTGCTCCCCAACCAATCAGCACTCAGTAGCAGTAATGCTAGCGTCCTGCGGCCCAAAACCCATTTGCTGTAGAAACTAGAAAACCTACAGGTAAGTTTTCTTTGCTTTTTTAATGAAATACGAGCTCCTACTTTTTACAGTTAAAAGAAAGTTCTGGGCGAGTGATTAGAAACTTTTTTAACTTTTCATTTTTAGCTGTTTAGCTCCATTAACCCCTATTCATTGAGGACTCGCTTGCGGGTGCCCTCTGGCGTTCTGCAGTTCTGTTTTTGATATAACGGGGGAAATTGGGAAGAGGGCGGGCTCTTTGTTATAGGGCATAGGTCAATTGATCATGCCATCCTTTAGGCGATGGCCAATACCACTAATTTTTTTTTTAGTATGTTCCCAACTTATACTCATGCTAATAATCTAATACTGATGACACAATGAGTTAGTGGGCTACCCTAACATGACTTTTATCTATTTATATTAGTGATTTTCAACCATTTCTATTGGGCCATTCTTCCTAAAATGTTCACACAATGTAAAGTGTACTTTCATTCATTTAAATTAATAAATAATCCATAAAAACAGAGATACAGTGTTTTGATATGATGAAATTCAATGTAACACAGTGATAAAAATGGTCAGGTTTTGTAAGTCACCAGGTGTACAAACTTCTATGTGTGTGTGCATGTGCGCTCTATTATACATGTGAATGTACAGTGTGTGAGTGTGTGTGTGTGCTGCATTATACATGTGAGTATACCGTGTGTGTGTGTAAAAATATGGCTGTGGCGACACTCTCTGCTAGAATTGTAGTGCTTCCTCATTAGGGCTGACCTTGGCATTGGTGAGTAGCATTTGATGGATAGAGAGCAGGACCAAACAAGTCCCTGAGGAGCCATGATCTTATCTTTTATTGCTCCATCCCTTTCTCCTGACTGAACAGACACACACTCCCCTCTCTCACACCCCATGCATCAAGCGTAGAATAAATCTGACACAGAGTAATGTGTGTGTGTGAGAGAGAGAGAGCGAGAGAGTGAGAGAGAGACTGAGGGGGTGTGTTATTAGTTAAATAATTCAGCTCTATTGCAACAGCATTAACACCCAGAAGGTAGATGGGAAAAAAGCAAGACTAGATGTATACAGAAAGGAAAACACAAACAGACGGACAGAGGGACAGATGGAGAGATGGAGAGAAGGGGAGAGAGAGAGAGAGAAAGCTTGTGGCAGTGCTCACTCTGCTATCTGCTGTAATAATCCTGCTTTTGCTCTGAGCACAAGCCTCATGGCATATCTCCACAGACATTCAGCACTGGTGAGGAAGCAGATGTCTTTCTCTCTTTATTTATTTCTCTCTTCCCTGCACACTAACACACCCGTCCCTGAAGCACTTCTCACCTTCCGTCTCCTGACTCTAGTATGGGACTCAGGATACTGTGCGAGAGGTCCAAGCATGTTGTTAGTGAACCTGTTCTGAGAATAACCGTCTGACCTCTTATTCCTTCTCTCTAAAAAGGGGGTTCTTCAAGGGTTTTTAATAAAGGTTATGTTTACGCATACACATCCTTTCTTTACATTATTTACACTATATTGGCAGTATATTATATTTTGCCTTCTCCTGTAAAGTTACTATTTTGGAGACTAGATTTTTTTGGACAGTGATGATATACTGCACAGATCATCTCCATCATCATCATCTAGTACAATCTCCTTGATGGACCTATACACACACACACTGACCAGCCACTTTATTTAGTAATTAAGTACATCTCCTCGTATCTACACTCTTTGTTCTTTTTATCAGCTTTACTTACCATATAGGAGCACTTTGTAGTACAGTTACAGACTGTAGTCCATCTGTTTCTCTGCATACTGCATTCTCTGCATACTTTGTTGTTGTCTTTCACCCTGTTCTTCAATGGTCAGGACCCCCACAGGACCACCACAGAGCATCTATTATTTGGGTGGTGGATCATTCTCAGTGCTGCAGTGACTCTGACATGGTGGTGGTGTGTTAGTGTGTGTTGCGCTGGTATGAGTGGATCAGACACAGCAGTGCTGCTGGATTTTTAAACACCTCAGTGTCACTGCTGGACTGAAAATGGTCCATCAACCAAAAATATCCAGCCAACAGCGTCCTGTGGGCAGCTTTCTGAGACCACTGATGAAGGACTAGAGGACACAAACTGTGCAGCAACAGATGAGCTACTGTCTCTGACTTTTCATTTACAAGGTGGACCAACAAGGTAGGTGTGTCTAATAGAGTGGACAGTAAGTGGACACTGAGGTGCCTGATCTGCTTGTACCAGCGCAACACAAAATAACATGCCACTATCACATCACTGTCACTGCAGTTCTGAGAATGATCCACCACCCAAATAATACCTGCTCTCTGGTGGTCATGTGGGGGTCCTGACCTGTATGTTTGCTGAATTTGCAAGCTAATGACGATGCTAATGACACTGCATTCACAACAGAGTAAACACAATAATGCCTAAAATAAAATTTTAACATGTTTTTTTTACTCTTTTCTGGAGTGAAGGCAGGGTGTAAATGGAGTAGCCACTCCTATCTCTGTTATTTATACTGAGGATATCTTATCCTGTGTGAAGTGATCATAAGCATTGCTGATGTTCTGTAGTAAACTGGCACTATCCACCTTCCCTATGGAAAACTAATCCTGTCCATGGTCAAATAGTTGAGTCTGTAAGTGAAAATTAGAACACATTCTCTACAGAAAACGCACTCCTGAACACTATAATGCACAATTACTGCTTATTTGCTGAACATATTGTGAAAAAAAAAACATTAAAATGTGGCCTGTGCAAAGCTTTTTTTTCAATGTTTCAAACAAATATATAGAAACTCTCAACTAAAATGTGTAAAAAATACCATATTCAAGTACCTTGTAGAGGAAATGTAATGTATTTTGATAGACATTGTTTAAACCTTTGCATAGAACTGCATTTCCCTCAATGTAAAGGTAAAGGTATGAGGTGAAAAATGTGGCCTAAAAATCGTAGACATATTTGTGTGACACCAATGATCCTCCAACCACCCCCCAAGTACTGGGCCACAGAATATGGTCATTCTACTTGTTCCTGCAGCCACCCTTCACCAAAAAACATTTGTGTGCTAAGTGGAAAAAGATAAAGAAAGACAGAACAAGAAAGACAGAGAGAAATCAAAATCATATCATAGTAGGCAGTGAAATTGAAACGCAGCATGTAGTTATGTGAACAGAGACAAGCATGGAATATTAACCTTGCTAGGTTTTAATGCAGTATCTCTGATAGCACAGTAGTGACCTTGTAAATGTGAATGAACATCCGCACAGAGCGCAATGAACACAAATATGTCCTAATCAGACTCGACGCCCGCCAGGATAATGCTTATTAAAGCCTATCTTAAAATATGCATGACAATTTTCACTGCGCTAAGTGTTGACATTTGTTTTTACTCGGCGATAATGGGCCTCTTTCCTCTGATTAGCGATTTAACAATCACTGCGCTGTGTGTGGGGAAATCTTTTGCGTCTTTGTGTCTAGAGTGGAGTGAGTGAAATGGGATCCATGATGGCACTTAGTCATGTAGCGATGGTTACAGTTTTATTATTTCATTGGTTTTCCTTCGTTTTAACTTATAAACAACAGCTATTATCAAGCCTCTGTTCCCTAGAGAAACAAGTCTAAAGTCCCTACAGATATTACCATGCTCATATGTGTATTGCGGCTCTGCATCTTGGGACATAGACTTCTTCTAAATGACTTAAACTGAAGAAAATGAGGGAACAAGACACACTTAACTCTGAAAATGGTTTAAATAGTAAAGGTCATATATAGGACATGTGGTTCCCTGAAGAGAATGCACTGTACAATTGAAAGTCTCTAATTAAAGAATACTCTTTCTTTATCTCACACACTAGAGATGTAAAGATGCATCAATGCGTTGTATGAACCAAAAGTGGTTTTCTATAAACCCTTTGTGGCACCTTTATTTTTAAAAATTTTATGGATACTTTTGGCTAAAAAGGTCTCAGGCTATCTTTAAAGAAACAATATGTAATACATTTACTGTACTAAATCATAAAATCACCATGATATGTCATCATAGATTAAGGAAACATGCTAAGTTGAAATACTGGCTTCTCTGACGGCAATGCTACAGCCAGTACTTCCTCCTTTGGAATTTTCATTCAGGAGCGGTAAGTCTGTGTTTTGCCAGTGATCTTTTCCACTGCCCATTTCCAAGCACCATTTCGACATCGCAGGTTGCCAGATATAAAATAACTGGCCAGCAAAAACAGCCAAGGAAGCAAGCAACCAAACAGGATCAAAAGATATAATGTTAAATTCCATCCAACCTAAAAAGCCTCAGCATCCTTTTAAAAAGCAAAATATTACGTAAATATTGGTGACGCACTTCAAAGATGGAAATAGCTTAGAGCCCAGAAGGACTTTAAGACGAATGCCTGAACAGGTAAGTGTTGAGCTTCAGCTAAAGTTAGCTAACCTCAACTAATTTATCATGGGATGGGGTTATTAGTAGGGATGGGCATTTTAAATAATTTAATATTCAAGTACTTGTATTCATACTCTGTGGTCCATGTGCAGCTGGGTTATCAAGGCAGCAAGTATTTGAGACACAGCAGGTGAATAATCCCAACTAGTGCTGGCTAATGCCATCTTGGCTGCCATACATAGCCAGCCTTGCATCTAGCTAACATTGACAGAGTTATAAAAATTCACATAAGCTGGTTTAGAATTTGCAAACAATAAAAACATTGCAAACGTTTACATTCACGGATCAACTTACAGTGTAGGACTTATTGTCGCTTACCATTGTCAAAGTTTAATGTTGCACCGTATATATACACATATGTATGTATGTGTGTGTGTGTGTGTGTGTGTATGTGTGTGTGTGCGTAATAATAATTTTTATCAACTTTTTTTAAGCCCAAGTTGCTCTAGGTTTCTTACAAAGTCAGGACAACTTCCTGAAAACGTACAAAAACAAGCACACACTCTCACCGTGTAGATACACCGAATGTGATATCCTGTGGTAATCGTGCTGGAGCAGACCTGCGTGCATCTTTGGAAGCGATTGGGCGTCTGATATCATGAGTTGCACGGTACTGCTGCAGCTCCTTGGCCGTCACCAGGCCTGACTTCACCCCCTCACGGTTCAGAGCCACAAAGTCCCGCTCTGCCTTTCTGTATCGGGCAGAGTTACTTGAGGACAGTGAGGGAGTGTGCCAGCTGGAAATAGCTGAGAATAAAAGAGAGAGATAGAAACACGTACAGAAACTGAAGAACAACTGAAGAACAACCCACCACCCCACACAGAAATGTGGATGTCAGTTAAACAATGCATTTTATATAAGAGGTGCCTCTGAGACACAAACTGGATGCAAAAGTGAAATGTCTGCCCTCCTGCAGAACCAAAATACCGACTGCTTCTTTATATTCTACTAGAATAAGAAGTTATATAGTTCTGTCACTTAAGCATAACTTGTAGGGTGCATTTCTCCGTATACTTAGTCAATTCCCATCTGATGCTGATTCACTGCTCTTGATTTTTTTACCACAGCAGCAGCTGCAGAAGGCCTCTTCTTCACCTTGTCACAATTACAGGAATCAAACATTTTAATACATCAGCGGGTTGCCAGCAATTTCTCTTTACTTCCAAGAAGCAGTTCATTTCACAAACAAGAGAAGTGTGCCTGTGAGAGTAAGGAGAGCATGATGATCGACAGCTGGCCCTTTTCTGGACCCTTTCCCACAAGGCAGAAAAGGCAAGAGTGCCAGCAGGGTACTGGCAGTGTGCACTGTTGTGCATTTATTCTGGTCTCAGATCAGTTCTGCTGTTAAGATTATAATGGTTATTAGTAGGATTTGACTGAGAGGCTGAGTGAAGATCAGTTGTAAATGTACTTCCAGTTGGGGTTGCCAGTGAGGCTCACATGGCTATGAGGAGAAAAGGCCTTGACACTGGCAGCCGCTACCTGTCGACTGTTGGGAAGTGCATAATTAAAGTGAGAGACAGTGGAGCTGCTAGAAGGCAAACACAGTTTAGCGTGTGTGCTAACAGGAGCACATTGACACTGAGGGCCAAGCGCCCGAGTAATGTAATGCGACATCATTCTGTGACAAGAGGGAACTAGTTAGGGATGGAAAGTCAGGAAACTTTTATTATGTTTGTTTGTTTGGCATTGAAGGCCCACAGTCCCAAATTAGTTTTGTCACTTACCCTCTGACACTCCTCCGTCATGAACTGTGGTCACTGGCCCATAAACAAAGTCAGGTCCTGGACAGGGCAGTCCTCTGGATTTGGTCTTACCAAGTGTAGGCTGCAGATAATGGAGAATAACAGACAGGTTAACTCTTCGACTAGAGATGAAACCATGCATTTTTTCTTTATTTACCCAAACTACTCTAGGACAGTAAAGTTGGCCCTGTGAGGGCTTTTGATTTGGCTAGCCAGAAAGCTACTCTACTCCCACCTGCCTCACCCAATTAAAGAATAAACATTTTTATATTGTACATAACCTTTCAATTCTGATTTGTATTTATTTTTCAAGCATTTTAGCAACAAAATATAGTGTAATATTAAAAATATATATATTTATAAAGTGGTTTTGTCTTTTCGGCCCTCAGTACAAACATTCTGCCCCCCCCCCAAAAAGAAAAAGTTTTGGCACTCCTGCTCTATTGTATCTACTTTCCATCAAGGCTGAGAAGCTCTAGTTTCCCTGAATAACTAAAAGCTGTCAAGCATACAGTAGTCACCCTAAGCGTGTTTAAATAGTGCCATTTGAATACAATAATTTAAAGCACAGTTCAGAGAAAGCATTTAAGTCACAAGAGAATCAGTGTGTCAGCACATCATATTTTTCAGCCTTCACAGCTGGATTGATTGTCAAGACACCCCTCATCCCCCCACCACCATAACCAGATTCCATAAACCCATAAAAGAATCACCACCACTGTATTTAATCCAATCTTCAATATGCAAAATCTCATTAATTAGCATAGAATATACCCAAAAGACTATTGTGACAAGACACTACATGGTAAAAATCATTTCATCTGAGCTCTTCAATAAGGTGGATGATGCTGATGGCTCCGTTCCTCAGTCAGGTAGGTGTAGGCCTCAGTCTGCACTGCTGTCAAACTGTGGTCCACTCTGCCTCATCTAATACACTGCTTGCCTCTCCAGAGCCATAACTATGGGGTGATTGACAGGTAAAGAGTTAGCGACAGCAACAGCAGGCAGTAGGGCTCACTGCTAGCCTGTCATCGCCGGCTTGGCGAGTATCTCCTGGGGCCAAGGGCCTGCTACAAGCCCGGGATAACATGGCGCCATTGTTCTTCACAGCTTTCAAAGTGGAACGTCTCGAGGCCTCGTTTTAAAGGACGCGTGACTACAGAGAAGGTGAGAAAATGGAGAATCAAACCGCGGCAAGGGTGACAACCGGATACACTACCTGCGTGCGGTGGTACGAATGTGCCTTTGATCCCGCTGTCTCTTTATCGCGAGATGGAACATGAAGGCGGCATGCTAGCATGAAGGTAGCGCGCTAGCATGTCAGTCACGCAGCGCGCTGGTTCCCTTCAACGCTGTCGTTTGTGATTTTGGGGAAGACGAGGCTTTGTGATATGCTTGTCTGTCAGGCAGAAAGGGGCCCTTCAATCAGCCACGGAGATGCATATGCTTGCTCTCATCTCAACACTGGTTTAAGGCGCTTTCATTATGCTGAATAGCAAAGGATTCCCCACAGACAGTTTTCATATGAACTGTCTAGGTGGAAAACCAGATTAGATATTCTTTCCTCACTGGACCCCTTCACCCCCCAACAAGTGATCCTCCCTTCTAAGGTCATCCATAAACCGATTCTGAGAATCACCGATTAACTAGATGTAGCTCTCCCATAATCGCAGACCTCCGATACTGACCAAAGGCTGGAGATCCCAATAGATCTTTTCTGGTTTCACCCCCAGTCTGACCCATCCAGCCCCTGTGGTTAACATCTCTGCTGAAACCCATCAAATTTTCCCCTTAAAGGGCCAATCTTCTGGGTCTGGGCCACTGTCCTTCTAAACCGTCCCTTTAATCCTCTCAGCAATTCCAATCTGCAGATTGTTTTGAAGGGATCACTTAGAGATGCCTGAAGGAACGTGTTGACTGCTGGCGCAAAACGGCTAATCGGACCCTTCCAAACATTATTGTGCCTTTCAGGCTCAATAAAGGCCTGAAAGAGAAGGGGACAACAAAAAAGGCAAATCAGGAGGGGGATTATGTTAAGCAAAAGCTCCTTTTATATTCTCATTTACTGGTGATCTGTCCCTTTATTGTGTTTTGATTAACCAGGCATGGACCTGCTGAAAAAGAGGGGAGTCCGTAAGAGAATGGGGCTGCTCCACGAGAGTCCATGGAGGGGTCAGTGGGAGCATATTATTCACACAGTCTTAAAGAGACAGAGAATAGGGGGACATAATCATCCCTTAGTGAAGACGCCCCTCCTGTCTGTCCTCTGTCTATTCACTCTCCCTGGTTTTAATTTCACTGTGCTATTGTCCCACTCTCGCTCATGTATGCTTTTAGGATTTGGCTGAGCTGAGCTTAGCTTAGCGCTGACCCTAAGAGCCCATCTCTGCAGCCTACAGCCTCGTTGCTCCCCCATTCTCCCTCTCTCTCACACACACGCACATATTGGCCTATCATTACAAGGGCAGCCTCTTTCAGATGACATCTGTGACTGTCTGAGCTAGACTACTGGGCCCTTTTCATTTAGCCATTCATAAACAGTTGGTGTTCGTGGCTCCAGACTGCTATGTGCCTTTTTGCCATCAGCCTCTGCAGCAAGCAGTCCACTCTTTCCAGATCTAATCCACAGTCTTACAGTTATTCTCCACAGCACAGCAAGTAATGTATGGGTCATTCTATGAAAATGGCCAATTTACATCCCCCAAATTTAAAATAAATTACTTTAGATTGTCAGGTCTGTTACCTATGGGTTTGTAACAGAGCTGGAAGTAAAAGGATTTAGGTTTGCAACATAAGCCATTATTGAACTTGGTGCCCATGTAGTAACCATTATAATATAGTTTAATTTTATTTGTGGAAATGTAATACATTAATTCTTCTTCTATAGCAAATTAAAGAAACAAAGATAATCTCAATGTTTTCAGTTCACTTCACTACAAGGTTAAAATTGCCTGTTGTGTTGTGGGGGGTAGCTTTCTCTGTTCTGCCCCAGCCTTTTTTTTAAAAAAAAAAAAAACATTTTTACATGGACTTGCCCTGGATATAAAGACATTGGGATACTGGGTTATCCAACCTTTTTACCAAAGAGCACCTTACTCAATCCATGATATGCCACCTGAGTCATGTGAGCACACCAATCAGCCTCTGTTTAACAGAGCTGATCTGTTTAGACTGACAACCAAATCCGCAAAGAGGAGAGCAATCAGTGATGTACACAGACATGACAGATAGCTCATGTTACATTCCACCATCTTCTTCATCAGGTGCAAAAATTGTTTAAAATTAGTTTATTAATGGCAATTAATTAGGAAATAAACACATGTTTAGTTCTTAATAATGATGTATAACACATAAATAAAAATGGCAACAGTGACCTGTTAAGTCTGATGAATATGAATATCTGATGAAACTGACAGGTATAATGCTGCCTGATGACAACATAAAGTAGGATAAGTAGCCAGGAAGAGTGGAGGTTTAACAGCATGGATTAACATGGACTCACTATTCGGAAAATAACAGGTCACTACTGTCCTTTTTATTCATGTGTTATAACTGCTTATTTTTAATGTGTCTATGATCCAATTATTAACCATTAATAAACCAGTTTTTAACCATTCATAAACCCTCTGTTAGTGTAGTCTTACTGTAAAGAGGTACACAAGTAATTTGTATGCATCGATAGCAAGATATGCATACTGATGCAGCTTATAAGCAACAGCAAGTAATGTATATTCATGTAGTATAAAGGCTACAGCAAGTACTCATGTAGCATACAGGTTAAGCAGAAAAGAAAGAGAAAGTACGACAGTGAGAGAAAGATGATCTTCCTAGGATCCTGGGGCCACACAAAAAGTTGTTTTGCACAAGAAACATCTCCTGAACCAAACAACTAGATCATGTGGTTTTCCGAAAAGAGCTCTTTGGATTCATTTGGCCTAGCCTGCCAAAATTTGTGTGGTGTCTGCAGAGTTGGAAAGTTTGGTTTAATCCTTTCAGTCATCCACCCAAGCCTGTTCATCTCGTCTCACTCTTCTCTGACTGACCGACAACAGGCCTCTATTCCATGAGAGCCACACAGAGAAGAGGAGTCGATAGAGGTGATTAGAAGATAATGGCAGTAATGCGTGCCGATCTGTCTACGCTCACTGCACTCACTGGCTCCTCTAACTCAGCTCAGCGCCATCTGGTGCCTGGCCAGAGCACAGCAGGCCTACAGGCTTAAAACTAATCTCCTGCTTTCACTACTTAAAACTGGAACTCAGAGTGTATGTGTATGTACTGTGTACGGGAGGGTGTTTTCTGCCTTTGTTCTCAAGTAAAACGAAATCTCCCCATCAACTTTATGTTAAAAGGTACACATCCTACATTTCCCCCTCCAAGGCCTTCTTATAATGTTGTGTGGATTTATGTTACAGTTATAATTAATTTTTACAGGATCATTTTCAAACCTCTCCTTATCCCTTAGAATTAAACAGGCTGTTTATTTAATTGTGCATTGAAGACAGATATATCTAAATAATCTCTGTTCTGTTTGGCTGCCTCACTCAAAAAGCACTCCAGGCTGAAACACTACTTATAACTTCAGTGTGAATGGGCGGAGCTAAATTGCTAGGCTGAAAAGGTATATATATATGGTCAGTGTGGTGGTTTGGGTGACATCACAAAACAATGAATTCAAAACTAGCTGCTTCTTAAGCTTAGTTTTGAAACGTTAACAATGTTTACTTACTACATCAAATTCTTTTATTTAAAAAAAGTGAGGAAAATCTGTTTTTTCATGATACGGATCCTTTAAGAAGCTGTGAATATATAATGTGCACAATAAACAGGGGATTTTTATTTGTTTGTTCTCCCAATGTCTCTCCCAACATTGTCATGAAGGGATAAATGTATAACATAATTATAGACTCAAGACTTCTGCCATCTATTGCAATCTTATGCACAAATGACACAATCGCTCTTTCATTTCAAATAGTTACAGCCTCCTAGATTTTACAAGGCAATGTGTAAATCCATAGCTTTTTTAAGATAAAATATACATTTATTCATAAGGTTGATTCGAAAGTGAGAAACAAGAATCAT